TTTTTTTATTTTTAAACTCCGGGGCTTTAGGTAAGATAGGGCTAGTATACATTTCATGACCATGTAAAGGCATCATCGACTGTAAGGTGCGTGCGCAGATCAAATTAATTTGACAAAATGTGATGCACCCTGTTAGGAGCAGACGTGGAGTCAGCTTCTTTGTATGCACCTCTGCCGCGCACGGAACTTCATCTGTCCACCTACCACCATAGTTTATTTATTTATTCATCGAAAACAAACGTATGTTCGCCAATTGATCTTCTGAATTTTTCAATGGGAATTTTCGCAGATTTATATATCGTTTTCGTCATCCCCCAAAGGAGACGAAGAAGAAGGTACGGGGACATGGTCCGTGTCCATGTCAATGGACCTCACCTATTTACGTATGCAGATATACATACAGATATGCAGTGTGGCGAGTGTTGTATAAAACACTCGGCAATTTTAAAAAGACCGGTACTCACTCGCAAACCAACATTGAGAAAAGTTACAATGCTGTTTATCCTGTAGTCCGATTTCAAGTATTTTCTGTCACGCTAGGATGCCGAGTCTGTGATGAGCTTCTTTTTGACCACTGCGAAAAAATTGATCCTTTTTTCATAGGAATATTCCGGCGTAGACAAGGCGTACCGTGATATAGCTTCTTCGGGCTACTGGCCCTCATCAGCCACGGGCAGCCAACTTTAGTGTAGCAGCTGAAATTACCGCCGCACCCGAGTTTCGAACTCGCGCCTCGCCGGCCAGGGGCAGATGTCCTAACCATTGAGCCATCGTGCTCGCTGTCTAGCCGGTTGTAGATCGGGAGTATATATTAGTTGTTTGTGCACCGATCTGTTGATTCTGCAAAAAATGTCTACTTAAATAGTACACATTTTTAAAGTTGATTTCGACTACCTTTATAAATTTAAATAAATATTTTATAGAAAGCATGCACGAAAAAACCCTCTCTTGTACTTAGGAGAAGGGTTTCCTTCGGTGTAACAAAAAAATTTATCCTTTGTGTTTTTACGACTATGCGCGGTTCATTCATAATAAATCGGGTTTTTAATACTGCCACTGATAAATAAAGCTTTTCTTAAACTATACCAGAGCAATAAAACCACTTCCTCAAACCGTAGGCCAGAATGTACTTTTCCTTATAAAGGATGAACAAAGCATTCGGTTTTTAAAAACTGAATTTACGTGTAGCATTTCGTAGCATTCGAAATCATTCGACAATTCAAAACCATTTTTAAAACCAAAGGAAAGCCTCCCTTAGACGAATAAAATTTAACGAAGGCGTACTTGGATACAAAATAAGTACAAGAGAGGATTTTTTCGTGGATGCTTTCCATAAAATATTTTTTGATTTATAAAGGCAGTCAAAATTAACGATATAAATGCACACTATTTAAGTAGCCATTTTCTCCAGTACACACGCTTAACTAGTGACCAGAAAAAAGTTTGCTAAAAAGCAGGCATCTTATCCTAACTAAAATGACCTCAGAATAGACAACATAAAAATCAATATTACAACATTACTAAATGCCGATTAGCGAGAGAATATCGATTTTTCGCAAATGTCGGCATGTTACACAAAGTTTAGGCCGTACTCTAAAGGCGCACAAGGTGCTCCGACGACAACGCATGCAGGCATGCACACACGCACGCTACCACCAGCAGGAAAACATTCATGTGCGCGAGATTGTGCGTCCAGGATCGGTTCTATAAGGCCCTGCGCCCACACGACCAATCAGGATAAGCCAATCACAGCACGCAAAGACCCATATAAAATGTGGTGCTGCTGTTGACCGCAAGCACAATGTGACTGAGGAGCCCACGACTTTTTCCTGCTTCTATTCCTCGCCCTTGCATATCAACTTGCGACATACCACCGTCAAGCAGAACACTGCACAAAAATGGACAAAAGCAAAATTTCCTTCGCAGTGGGTCTCGGTATCGCCATCCTCTTCCTCATTGTGGCCGTGTCGATATCAGGATGGGACTGTGGCACCGTGCTTGGCACCTGTCAGGAGGGCAGCATTTTCCCTGAGAAATATAAGGCTATCTATAAGACTCTGGGAGGACTCCTGGTCAGCGCCATCTTGATAAACCTTGTCGCCCTCGCAATTGTCATCGCCGGCTGCATAACCTCGCAATCATGGGTCACGCCAGCCGCCCTAGGACTGACTTGGCTTGGAGGCATCCTTGCTTTAGCTGCAGTTGCATACTATTATGATCAGATGACGGAAATCTACTCTCCTATGCTGGCTGTCATCGGAATGACCTGCACGTTGGCCATGGCGATCAGTAATAGCCTTTCGATGATACATGAACGAGCAGATTAAACGGACACGTTTATCGAGGGTGTGTGTGTATGTGCTTGAATGTCTTAATGCATATGCCTGCACTTAACCTTAAAACTATTTGCAATTTGTTGCGTACTTTTGGCTACTTCTTTATGTCTGCATTTTTTTCTTTCAAAGACCCACATGCACCTAGTACCCGCTCATTGCGTCTTACATTGTTTCTTGCTTTTATGCCGAATTTCTTTATATTAAATGGTTTATATCGAAGAAAAGAAAGCAATTTTCAGTGTGTTCTTTTATTTCTCTGATACATTTTCAACTGTTGGCATGTAACGAGTTCACGGTATATCAGCCACTGTACCATTTAGGGCCTATAATAAATTACTCTGTAAGGTGGACGTGTCGTTGGCCCCAAGAGGTCCCCCAAAATGAACTACGTCCCCGCAATCTCACAGTGGATCTGTCATGGATCGGACAGTAAAAGCAAGTTGTTACATCAGCGGCATTGTGTCACAATAGAACAAATGGCTAACCATGACAGAACAAAGGGGAGTTTTCGAGTGAGAGAGATAATTTCGAGATATTCTGACAATCACCCATGCATCATTCTAACAGAAGCGAAGAGAATAGTCGTGAAAGCGGACACCTCGGCGACTGAAACCCTAGGTTCCTGAATAAGAAACCCACGTGTTCGCTTCGTTTGGCCAATGTAAACGGAGGGGTAATCAGTGAAGGTGATTTTATGGAAACTATTTGAAAGTATCAGCCAAACGTTTCAGCAACGTATGGCTCCATTCACTGAGACCAGAGGATAAATTAACAAAATACGCAAGCACTTAAATGTTGGCATAAAATGCAAATATATTAAGGAGATACGTTTAATATCAATTTCGGTACATTAGTCCCTTTATACGTGATGTGGCGCGCTTATATACTGATGTTAAGCAAGAGGAATGTCAGAACCTTCTTCGCATGGGAAACGATAACTTAGCAGTCACTATGTTCGCTTTCAGGGCACGAACAACCCCAGCAAAGAATTCGATCAACGAAGTTTTTGACTGTCGTAATGTGTCGTATTGTTATACAACCAGCTAAAACATCATAGGTAATACAGGCAGCTGAAGAGAGCATTCAGAGAATATGTTGAAAATCAACAAGTATTTTGGAGTAAAAGTACAAAAATAAGCGGACAACAATGGAGAAGGAATGGGATTGAGGCGCGTGAAGGCAAAATAAAAAACGGATGGAAAAAAGAAATTTACTCATTTAAGCGAAAAGGCAATCAATAGGAAGGCAGAATGGCAGATAGGATTTTACACTTACACTAAGCCATCGAAAAGGTGATACATCTTTGTGCAGAATATCTGGGGATTCAGGACTGGGAGAGGATCGCAATCAGAAAAGGCACATGACTGAATTCTGATTATTCAGTAGAACATAATCTGGCAACGACCATGCGAAGAGGCCGTCCCCGCAATGTTTCAGAACCTGGCGACGTGTCTCATTTTTGAGAGAATGACCAACAACCATATTATTGCCATATTTAACACACAAGCAGTCGTTTATCGATCTCATATCATCAGTGTTGGGAGAGAGAGCAATATGCTTTATTTTGAAGGTAAATATCCAAATTGTTTAGTAAAAATGGCTCCATTTACGGAGAGCAGGGGAAAGATAAGGTAAAAGGTCATAGAATATGCAAAATTTACACGATATCCTCATCTGTTATGGTGAAAGGTCGGCCTTCAACTTCTCTATTTCAATTTGTTCAGATTTCAATTTCTCAATTTCCGCTTCTTCACACGTGAGGTAGCGTGCTAGGAATAGGATTATGGAGTCCTGATATGCCGATGTACGGCAAGATATATGACGGAAGTATTGGCGCATAGTACGGGATGACTTTGCAGCCATTATTTCAGAGTGAAGAGGGTGCGCGACCTCAATAAGGATGCGATCAGCAAATAGCTTGACCATTTTAAAGTGTCACTGTAGTATAATCTCAGCTAAAAAAAACGTTGGAAACACCGGTAGCTGAAGAAAGTATTCGTAAAATACCTTTAAA